CCAGTGCCATTGTCTTCCCCACCATGCCCCTTCAGCCCACTCCGGCTCCCCCTTTGCTGCCGGCCCCAGCCCGTGGTGGTGCTGCAGTGGGTCTGCTCCTGCCTCACCCTCAGGGAGTAGCTGGGGCTTGGGGATTTGGCAATTTGGGGAGGGGGGGGTGTTTCACAAACCCCCCTCCTCCTCCTCCCAGATGCTGGGGGCGGCACCACGCCTGCAACAACTTCCGCTTACTCAAGATGGAACTTAAGCAGGTGCCCAAGAGATGGCGAAACATTCTCATCAGTCCCTGTATAGACACGAATCACCACACACAACATGTTAATTTTCCTTTGGGGAAAAAGACACATTTTCAGCACATCAATGAACTCCAGAGATCCTTGCCTGCCACTACTCTGCTTGTTACTAATAGAATTACTTTCGTTTGTGCCTTCTGTGCTCTTTCCCAGAGGAAAAGAAGAGACCTGCCTGTGGTGGGTTGACCTCAGCCAGGAAAAGCCTGACCCAGGGAGGGAACAGCTGATTTCAGTGGTGGCCTTTGGAGCAAGGACAGAGGTGTCTGGGGCTGTGGGAAAGGAGGCAGGGAGGAAGGAATGTGGGGAACACCAGAGGAGAGAGAAGTGGAGGAGGCACTAAACGTCTGAAGCACAACCACTGCAAACATAAATTCAACAACAAGCTTCATCTGTTTGTTCCAGAGCGGAGCTGGAGCCAAGGGCTGACATTCCCCAACACCGTGCTGCCCAGACGCTCACAGCCATGGGATTTCTTGAAACAAAATAATTTATTGGGTATTTCTTCAGGGTATTTATCTATTTCTTTATAATAATATAAATATTATTTATATGGGGTACTTACTGATCCCCTCCTGCCCCTCTTGGCTGGAGGAGCGGCCCGGCGGAGCGGGGCAGAGGCTGCGTGGGCAGCGGGGACCCGGCTGCTGTTCAGCTGCTCCCGGAGCAGAAGCGGCGGCACAGCACATTCCCGGCAGGAGCCCCCGGGGGTGCAGCAGCGCCTCGCCCGCACATCCCCCGCAGTGCCCAGCGCTGGCAGACAACGTGCCCGAGGGGTGGGCTCGGGGGTGTGAGCAGCAGGTGCTTGGGGATGTTGTTCTGGAGGCACTTGTAGGCGCTGCCCCATCCCAAGGCTGGACCCCTTCTTCACCGTGAGGGCTGTCGGGTACCAGGACCAGCTGCCCAGGGAAGTGGTGGCATCCCCAGCCTTGGGGGTATTTAAAAGACGTGTAGACGCGGTTCAGTGGTGGGCTCGCCAGACTCAGTGACCTTGAAGGTTTTTTCCAACCAGAATTATTCTGAGTCTCCGATTCTATTAATTCTCTATTGCTGTCTTGCACCCAGTAAGGGAACGCTACTGCTGGTATCTAAAGTGATCTCTTCTTTTTTTTCCGAGAAGGCAAAATTGTCCCTTGGTGTTGTGGCTGAACCCCAGGTGGCAACTAAGCACCTTTCCCCCCTCCCAGCAGGATGGGGGGAAGAGAATTGGAAAGGGAAAAGTGAGAAAAGTGGTGGGTGGAGATAAGAACAGTTTAATAACTGGACTAAAATAACAATAATAATAATAATAATAATGATAATAATAATAATAATAATAATAATAATAATAATAATAAATTGTCATGACAAGGAAAAATTAGCAGAGAGAAAACTAAGAAGGACAAGTGATGGCAATGAAACCAACTGCTGACCACCAACCGACCGGTGCCCAGTCAAAGCCAGCCCAGCTCCCCAGTACAGCAGGGGATTTTGGTGCTGGGACAAATTGGAACGTGCCAGCTTGGCGCACGGGTGCCTTTTTGTGCCCTGAGATGCCTCAGGAGGGGCAGGATGGGCTAAAGCTTCCCTCCTTCCTCCTCCTCCTCTCAGGGCTTTGTGGTCTCACGAGACACCCTGAGTGCGGGTGTGCAGCCTTGGGGGCAGTGGCAGAGGGACACTGCTTGGGGGGGGTCCCCGTGGGAAGGACACCATGAGACTGGGCTTGTTGCTCCAGCTTGATTTAAAAAAAAGATTTATTGAAGTACGCCATTTCCCCGAGAATGGCACCACTCCAAGGCTCATCAGGTGCAGCATCTCCATCTTGACCTTGGCTTCTGCTTTATAACTGTCAGGATGAGGACGGTCTGAGCTGCCAGGGACCTGATTGAGAATTCAGCGTCATTCCCCAAGGACTGGAGGGCTGCAAGAGAAGGAAAGAGAGCAGAGGTGAACCCCCCCCTGCCTGCAGAGACCCCAGGCTCTGTCCTCTGCCCCACCAGCCCCCGCCAGCACAGCACTGCCCCTGCTCACCACTGTGGCAGAACTCCCACAGCTTCTCTCGCCTGAGGATCCTCTGGTGCCGCGCAGCAAGACCTGGGGCACAGAGGTAATGTCAGAGCTCTGCTCCCCCTCGGCAGGGCTGTCCCCCAGCAAGGACAGCACCCGAGGGTGCTGGGACTCAGCAAGAGCCCCAGCGAGCCCACCAGTGGGGACTGGGGCCGGGTGGCCAGAAATGGGTCCCCAGGGACTCACCGATGAACCTGACGGCCTCCTCTCGCACGGTGGCCTGAGGGTCCTTCAAGTAGGGCAGGCTCTGGAGCAGATACTCGTCCACACTGTTCCTCTTCTGGGTTATCTAAGGGAGCACAAGGGCACGGGGCTGGTACGGACCCTCCGCAGCCGTCCAGACCAGTCCCTCCTGCCAGCACCCCCGCTCCCTCCCAGTGACTCCCATCTCCCAGCCGGGAGCCCCATGGGGCTGAGGGCCAGAGAGAGCCACAGGCAGAGGGGGATGGGGGTGCTGAGACCCCTCTGTCCCACTGCCAGGGCCCAGCTGGGTTGGGGTCTCCTGGAGAGGAGCCCTTGGGGGATGCGTGCTGGAGGGCAGGGAAGGAGGGTGCAGCTGGAGCAGCGGGGCTGGAGCAGGGCGGCGATGCAGAGCCCCTCCCCGCCACGGCACAGCTGCAGCCCCCATCCAGCCCGGCCGGGGGGTTTGGGGGTTGTCCTCACCAAGAACTCTCTGATCTGGTGTTTCTGCTCTGTCTCAGCCAGGAAGCTGAGCCTCCTCCAGCCCAGGAACACTGCACAGGCGCGGAGGGTGTCCCAGGAAGCCTGCGGAGAAGCAGAGGCTGGGAGATGGCACCAGAGCCCAGGGAAGGAGACTTGGTATCCTCCTGCTCTGGGCCTGGCACAGCCCTGGGGGACAGGGATGGCGGCTCAAAGCACACAAAGCCCGTGGGGACTTGGGCCACTGCTGAGCCGGGAAATGTCTGTGCCCAGTTCTCGGGCTCTGCTTGTGCTGGCGCTGTAGGGACCCTTCCTCTGGGCTGGGGGGTGGGTCCCCACCTCCCCCCTCCAGCTCTGCAGCAGTGGGAAGGCCAGTGGAGGTGGGACCAGCACAGCGGGACCCTGCAGTGACACACATTCCCATTGTCCCTCACGCCCAGGCCACCCCCGTGGTGTCAGCACGCCCTTCCCCGTGACACCAGTCACTGATCACTGCACCTTGGCCACGCTCTCCACCTTCTCGTTGGTGTGGAAGAACAGTTGGAGCAGCACACCCTGCACTTTCTTCACCATTTTTTTGATGTTTCTCCCCACCGCGGTCTTCATCACGTCTTTGAAGAGGCGGATGGAGAGCTCCCGCACCCGGCTGGACTCCTGGCAGGGAGGAGGACAGAGGGAGCTCAGCACCAGCCATTCCTCACCCGCAGGGAGCAGGGGTGTTAGCGTGGCTGGGGGAGAGGAGCTGCTCTGAGGCCAGATCCTGAACGCAGGAGCCATCGGCCAGACCTGCGGCTGCGGCTCAACGGCCCTGGAGCCCTGAAAGGCCACAGAAGAGGAGCGGGGAGGGGAAGAGCCTGGAAAGGCCACAGAAGGAGAGTGGGAAGAGCCCCAAAAGGCCACACAAGAGGAGCCAGGGGGACACCCCTGCCCAAATGCTGCCTGCAGGGTTGGGCTGAAGGTCCTTCACCCATTGCCTCAGCTCCGGCCCCCGCCTTACATCATCGAAGAGGAGCAGGAGCTTCTCCACCAGTCTCAGAGCAATGAGGTCGGCCTCTTCCCTCGTCATGTGTTGAATCACGTTGATGAAGAGCATCAGGACCTTCATCCTGACATTGGTGTTGGCTGCCAGCAGGTTCTCTATGATGTCGGGCAGCATTACCAGCATTTTCCTGGCCTGTATGGAACACACCCGTCAGCTTTTTGTGAAGCGGTGAAAGACACCCCCCCAGGCACCCCCCAGCCCCCTCCAGAGCAGGGAGGGTGCTTGGAGCTGTCACCCCGCATCTTCCCGGCCGGGGCCAAGCCACTGCATCACCCTGGCCCTGGCTACAAATTTGGCTCCCCTTGCCGACGCCCCGCTCACCATTTTGGGTGCTTTTGAGAGTGTCACGAGGCCCGTGACAACCAGCGAGAGCATCACCAGGCTGGGACGCCTCAGGTACCTCTGGGCTTTGTAGAGGGCAGCAAACTCCTTGTCGTCCAGGTCAGCGCTGGCCAGCAGCTAAAATGGAGACAATGGTGAGAGACCAGCAGAGCTGCGGGGCTCCCTCCCACACGCCGGCACGGCCCCTGGCAAGTGTCTCCTTGAAGCCACCTCCGAGTCCCCATGTCTCTGTCCCGGGGCCAGAGCTGGGCAGGGGGATGCAGGCAGGGGGGAAGGCAGAACACTGCCTGTGGCGGGACAGGCTTGGTGGGGCCAAACCAGCATCGGGTGGGCCCAAGCATGTGGCACGGAGGTCTGGGAAGAGGAGGAGGAGGAGGAGGAAGGAAGGCAGAGCAGTAGGGCTGGGCGTGGGTCACTCACAGCCAATGGGTAGATGCAGGCATCTTCCACAGCGAAGCTGAACACCCTGCGCAGCCGCCGGTCCTGCAGCACATCAACAAGCTCCGACACGACTCTCCGCAGAGCCCAGCGCTCGGAGATAAGCACGTCCCACATGGCCATGGCCGCCCTGCGGAGCCAGAGCCAACTTGGTCAGCAGAGCTCCCTCAGCTCCTCCGGACCCCGGCCCTGCCCACCCCCTCATTTCGGGGTGCCCGCGGAGGCAGAGAGGGGTGAGGTTCTGTTCCCATGGGGCAGGGGCTCTGCTTTGGCCAGCTCTGGCTGAAGGGGGAAGTGTGGAGGGATGAAGAGCCCTGCTCCTCGGGGATAGATATCCGGCACTTTTCCGTGGTCTGGCAGCCAGAGAGTCTCCGGGCCACTCTCCCGGTGGGGAACGAGCCCTCAAGGCTGTCGGGGCCGGTACCTGTCACACGTTGGAGAGATCCTCAGAAGGCTCCTGACCACCTCCCTGGGGCTCCACTCTGTCAGCAGCAGCAGCAGCGAGTCCAGGCTGTTCCAGGCTGGCTCCGTAAGGATGTGCTCCACATTTTTGTGGATGTATCTCATAATTTTTGGCACCTGGAGGAGACGCGGGTAAGGATGGTGCTGCCGTTCCCACCCCTCCCTGCTGCCTTGACACGGCTTTGGGTGCCCGAGAGAGACAGGTTAGGGCAGGAGGGAAGAGCAAGACGACACGTCTTGTCACGGAAGGACAGTCCAACCACGGGGCACTTACATCCATCAGCCAGGACGCGGGGTCCCTCACGGCCATGTTCACGACGTCACTGGCCATCTGCCTGTCTTGGACATCATCTGCCGGCAAGGCCTCGATGGCTGCGAGGAGAACGCCTATATTCTGAGAAGGCTGGAGGTATTTGCCAACCACCTACAGGAGGAAGGACAGGGGGAAGATGTGTCACGCTGAGCTTGGCTGAGCAGCTCGACCACCTCTGGGTCCCTTTGCTCGCACAAGCCGATGCCACAAACAAGGGTCCTTGGAAGGGGGGAGCTTGTTACCGTTCCCATGTCGCTGCTCTCGAGTGAAGAGAGCAACCAGGTGCTCTCAGGATCCCATCCCACTGCCTCTGGAATCGCCTCTGGCAGCTTCTCGTCTACACGGAAACACGGAAGAGTCGGTAAGACAACAGCCATCTTGGCCAAACAGCCTCCCAAAGGGTGAAAAGCGCTTGAAACGGGGTAAACAGGGTCCTGGCGTCGGCCCCCTCACTCACCGATCCACAGCCGCTGGACCGTGGACACCTCGCAGGGCTCCGGCACAGAGCTGCTCTCCTGGGGGGCCCCCACCTCCTCCCAAACCACCCTGGGGCTGCTGGGGGGTCTCTCTGCCATCCTCAGAAATGGTTGAGGGATAGTGCAGGGTGTTAAGCTGTAGGGAGCGAGGGCAAAAGACGTGGGCTGTGCTCAGGAGTCTCCTCGCTGCACTCCTGCCCTGTCCCTCCCCAATGTTGTCAGACACTGCTGCACTGCTTAGATACGGTGCCGGGGGAGACACAGAGCGATGTCACAAAGGTGGTCACAAAGGCCGGGTGGGGCAGGGGTTCTACTGCGGGGGTGGGGGAGGGACCCAGCTCACCACAGGGCCATGGCTCCTCTCGGGGTGCCCCCAGGCCCCCATCATGTCCTGTCAGAACCTTCCTGTACCCCCCGGCTCACCCCAGGGTTCACACACCCCGTCACGGACCCCGGACCTTCTGCTTTGATCCCGACAGAAACACTCCAGACTGCCCCATCTCGCCTTTGCAGTCACCTGAAGCACTGGCTCGCCCGTGTCCAGTTCTTTCCCACACTCCCAGCATAGCTTTAATCTGCTACAAGAGTTTCCTGATTTCAGCTGGGATAGAGTTAGTTTTCTCCAGCTGGAAGGGAGCACAGCCCCACTGATCTTCAATCTGTCAGGATCGCTGGCCAGGAGCGGACTGTTGGTTGGTGGGTGGTGAGCAGTCGCCTTGTGCGTTACCCATTTGTACTTTCCATTGTTGTTATTTTGTTTTGCTACAATCACTGAAGTGGGGTTTTTTTAATCTCAATTTACGAGTTTTCCTTGCGTCCCTCCACTCTCTTCCCCCATTCCCCCAACAGGGGGAGGGGAGCGAGCGGCTGCGTGGTGGTTGGCTTTGACAGAGTTCAAACCACGAGAGTCCTTTTTGGTGCCCAGCGTGGGGCTCGAAGGGTCGAGATAACGGCAGATCGGGTCAGTGTGTCATAACCATGGGTTAGAAGCATTCATTAGATTGGCTTATCAATTGCTGGGCATAATGTCGATCGCTTGGCTCCTTAAATTTTCCTCTTCTCATTTGTGCTATATAGTCCCTGTGCTGGTGCTCACCACCCGTGGAGCTGGATTAAGACTTTTGTTTGGCTGTACTGTGTAACACTGATTGATGGCACAATGAAGTCATAAGTTCTGAGGCTACTTACAACTCTGTCTGAGAATTAGAGGAAAGCAAAAGTATAAATAATAAAAGCCCAATCAGATGTTCAAAGCATCTAGAAGGGGCAATGGGAATTTATAAAGAAATGCAGATTTAGCACGTGCTCTGCTATTACCGTCATTTAGGTGCGTTCGTGCAAAATGTATTCATTAGGGAAAAAGCTTTTCTTGGTCGTGAGGAGGGGCCACCCTGCGGGACTCCCGGGACAGGGCAGAGGTGCCACGGGAAAAGGCGGTGATGCCATCTTGGTGTTTCCCCACCAGCAGCCGATCTTCGCCTGTGGAGCAGGTTTCTGCAAGACCGAGCACCTGGGCCTGTTTCCAGGCCCAGCGCCCAGCCCCAGCTCAGGCTGTGCCCCAGCTGCCCTGCTGCCACACAGCCCGTCCCTCTGCACATCCGAACTGCAGGCGAGGCAAGCTGGGAAGAGGACGGAGGGGCGGCGCTTCAGGGAAATAGTCCTCCAGCCAAGGCAGAGAGCGGCCGCCCACCTTTGGTCTGCCCGCGAGTAGGCAACCAGGGCCCAGGACCAGTTCTTTCCAGAATTATGGCTGGCCTGTGCAACAAAAGCTCCATTTCAAGTATCCGACCACTATTTCTAATATTAGAAAAATGCTCAAGACCTGTTTCTGGAGGACTAGCAAGATGTCCATCTCTCTGTAGAAAGAACTGAGTCTGTACACTCACGGGATGTCTTGAGATGGCAACAGATCAACCAGTCTCATCTCTGGAAGACCTTTTAGAAATACACTATCTGACAGATAAATCAGGGCTTCAGGAAAAGCTGTTGTAGATAGTGTGGAAGTTGCAGCAGACTCATGAGGGGGAAGGTGAGCCCAGCACCAGGAGGAGGAGGAGGAGAAAGCATCACAGGGGGCGACGACAGCAATGCCAGCCGCACTGCGTGTAAGGAGAGACTGAGACTTCTGATGCGGTTTTCATCGTTTTATTTTCCTTCTTTCATGATGAGGCTACTAACAAGCGCCTCCAAGTCCCCTTGGGGGTGGCGTGCACCCCAGCTGCTGTCCCGGCCCTGGTTTCTCTGGCTTCTTGCCACCCTAGCGTTGCCGGCGGCCTGGCCGCTTGTGGGCGGAAGAGTCCTGGGAGCAGCTGGCCTTCCTCTTGCCGCGGCGCCGGGGCCCCCCAGGTGAGCAGTCCCTGCCCTGGCCAGCACTGGAGGGACCTGCCACTGCCTGCCCCAGCTCCTCGTGGGGCTGCTCCTGTGCTCTGGGGTCGGGGGCAGGAGTGTCCCCAGGGGCGGTGGCGGGTCCAGGGGTGGCTGCGGGGCTGTGCTCCTGCTCCTCGGCAGCCTGGGAGTCCCGGGGCTCCAGCTGCTGCATGAAGCGCTCCCTGCACCTCTCCACGACCATGTCGACCAGCCGGTGCACAAGCTCCACTGCCCGGTGCTGCAGGAAGGGCTGCACATCCCGCACCAAGGCCTCCCTGTCCAGCCCGTCGAGGCACAGATGTGCGATGATGGTGGCCTGTGCCACATCTGCCATCTACCAATACTCCCCATACACCTCCAGGAGCTGCTGCCTCAACCAGGGCATCAGGGGCTGCAGAATCTCCGTGCTTTGCTGGAAAAGTCTCGCCCAGACATGGGGCTCAAAGCCACCCACGGGCACTGGGTCTGCATCCCGCCTGTTGTACTGCTGGATGGCAACTGATAGACAGGAGGGGGGCTGCCGTAAGGTCATCTCCAGAAAATCTTCCTCTGACCGCACAGAGTAGTTGACGGACTGGACAGTCTGCCTGCAAAGGGGGCACAACGCTTTCCTCTTGGCCCACCGCACAATGCAGCCCAGGCAGAACTGGTGGAGACAGGGGAACGCATAAGCGGCGCCATCTTGGGTCTCGCCGCAGATGGGGCAAGTCCACTCGCTCCCTTCAGCCATGTTGGCTCGTTGTGGCAGGCTGGGAAGAGCTGAGGACGAGGAGCTGCTCCCCATCGCTGGCGTCACACGCTGCACAATGGAGAAAGGCCCCGGTCACTCCCTGTCCCGGTGAGGGGAGGAAGAAATGCCCAGGCCCCTGGCGAAGGACACCCTGCGGCTCCCCGAGCCCCTTCACCCACCCCGGGGGGACGCTCCCCCGCACAGCTCACCTCTGCTGCTGCGAGCGCTCCCGACGGTGCCCGGCTGCCTGACCCAGGCAGGGCCAGGGAAACACAGGGGACAGGGACGGCTCCGGGACGGGCACCGAGAGCTGCCGACGGCAGCCCCCAAAGCAACCCCCAGCACCCGGAGCAGCCGCGCTCGACCCTCCACACCTCACAGACACGCTCGGCAGGAGTCCAGGCACGAGCCACGCTGGGCTGGGCTCTGCCGGTGCCTGAATACAAGCAGGGAGGGACGTGAGGTCACAGACCCTCGCTCTGTGATGTCACAGACCACCGCTCTGTGACGCGGCAGTGGGACGCCTGTGTCCATGGCGCTTGCCCGTGTCAGGGCGTGGCTGGCCCTGGCACTCGTGCAGCTGGAAAATGCAGTCGTTGCCCTATTCCCTGGACGTAGAAATGAGCCACTCTGCCATGGCTTGTACCTGTTCCACTGCAAGCACAAGAGGTCTAGAGAAGACCTAGCTGAAGCACGGCAGATGAGAAGAAGCCTTCAGCAATGCACGTGAGGAAGCTCGAAAGCAGAGGCACAGTTTGTGCAGAAAATGCCCTGATTATGGCTGAAACACAGTTCTCCCTTCCAGAGAACTGTGGAGAGTTGCTCATTACAGGGAACTGACGCCCAGAAAGGGTTTCTCTGCATCCCCTGCCCTAGCCATCACATACAGCTTAAGTTAACTGGAAATGGCGGTACAATGGAAAATGCTGTTTGCCTGGAATTCCTCCATTTGATAAGCGGAGAGACACGCTGGAGGGAAGACTTGGGATGGCCATAGCCGGAAGGGTAAAATCTCCTGGAAAACCTGTGAGACGGACATGGATTCTGATGAGTCGGGGCTTCACGGGAAGCTGTGATGGAAAGTGTGGAAGTTTCAGAGCTGTTTATAAGAGGGCTTAGCACCAAGTATAGAAGAATACTTTTTTAAAAAAATGGTGGATTTGAAAGGGATTTTTGGATTTGCAAAGTTGTGCCAAGCCTTGAGAAACAGTTAAAGCCTGGCTTTAACACCCTGCTTTCTGCCTTTCCAGACTCTGGCCCGTGGATCACACCACCCACCTCCAGCTGGCAGAGGGAGAGATCCTGGTGCTCCCCTTGTGGTAACACTGGCTATGAAACCAGTGCTGACACCTGTGACAGCCGAAACCTTGCCACCGTACCACATTCAATAAACAGATTAAAGTCTCTGTTTTACCAGGCAGCAACGTTTTGGCTTACCATTGCCCTGCACCTAGAATTAACCCGCCCCAGAATTTGCACTGGTCTCCTGCATTTTCTGTGCTGGTCACGATTTGCTCCTGTCCCAGAGCAGGCAGAACCCCCCAGCAGAGACACAGTCCCGGTGCTGTGAGCTAACGGCATGCCAGCCGGGGCAGGGACGTCTGGATAACAGATTTCCCCCAACGGCCCGTGCCTCCGCGCCCTTCCTCCCCACTGCTGCCCTCTGACCCACGTTGGCTGCTGCCGCGTCTCCCACACGTGGCACTTGCCTCACCTCAGCCACCTACGGCCGCTTCGGCTTTCCCGTGTGGGCTGAAACGCAGCGCGCAGAGTAGTGAGGAGAACATCGCTGTCTGATCAGGGAAAGTGCTCCAAAACGACACATCCTTTGCAACGCTGTGAAAGACTCGGGTTCACTCAGAGCATTTGCGAGCACCAAAGGACACAGCAGAGTAGAACATTTCCTTCTAGGTAATAAGGAAATAATAGAATCGTCTGCTGAAAGGACAGACGTAAGTGCTAATGAGCAGAAGAGATCAGCTGTTATCAGTAAGACACAATGAGAAGGTTGTGTGCAGAGAAGCAAAAGATTACTGCGTTTGTTGACAGCAAAAGGACATTGAACCAGGTCAAGAAAGCCTGTGATCCTGCACGGGTACCCTCCAGTAAATTGAGATGACTTTGTATGAAAGGCTCGGGAGCTGAGACTTCTGCCCCAGTGGTAAAAATATTACATTCCTGCAGGTTTCATGGAAATAGACAGTCATCTAAAGGAGAAAAAAACATGCATTCCAGCCTGCTGTAGCACAGCCCCAGAAAAGTCACAGGAACAAGGGACATTATGAAGGGTCTAGCCACAGAAGAAGTTTCAGTTAGATCTTTAATGTTACGAAACAGTGGAAAACATGAACCACAAACGTATAAGGAGCCAGGTTTAGTGCTGCCAAACCATATACCAGAAGAAGTTACAAACTAAAATGCCTTATAACCTTATTTTTCATTTTAAAATAATAAAAAAATTATACACGTTTGCATCTTCTTGCTGATACCCTGTTATTCTGATGACAAAAACAATGACCTTCTTTCAAAGGGATAATTTTGGGGGGAGGAGTATCAGAGGGGAAACCACATTGATTTCATTAGTTTGTGCATACTGGTAGGAATTCCTTCTCAAATTGGGAACTTAACATTCCGAGTCGACCTTTAAAGCTTGGCAAGATATTCTCTCCAGCCCACAAGTTTCCTAATTTCATCCTAGGTCACGCTGCTTCATTTGGATGCATCCCCTTCAGAAAGACAGACAACTCCAAAGGTGTCGGTTTCACCTCAATTCACTTCGCTCCCTGTCAGTCAGATTTAACATAAATCACAGTAACTATAAAATTAAAACTAAACTTAAGGTCAGTTCCAAGTTTGGAAAAAACAAAGCTGTATGAAATTAAAAGCAATGCTAATACAGTTTAAGAACTGGAGTTCAGGGGGTGCAGGAGCAGCTACATTTCTGAACCTACCTTCTCCCCTGAACAAAAGCCCAGGCTCAAGGCCCAGGTATTTCACCCTCCCCAGGACTCCTGCTGCGGGCAACCCCCCCCCAGGTCCTCTCTCCTCCTTCTCCTTTTCCCTTCAGGTCTGACTT